GATGCCCAATATGCTGTTACAGACACTCAGTCTCATAGTCTGGGGCGGAGTCATGATAATCTCCATTTTGCTGATGACAGTGAGCTGGCCCATCAGCTGGACAGACATGGAAAGGGTTTCATTTAGAACATTATCATCACATTCTAGAAATTGCCCCATCTCCTTTATATTACATCTTAGAAGTGATCTGTCCCAACCTGTGGGTCAGCTATATCTGTCTAATTCTCAAAGAAGTCACATAGATCAACTTTAAACATAGCCTGGGAGGAGACAGACCAGAGAATACCTATTATTTTTCTTCCTGTAGACTCTGGATAAAGGGTGCATGGTTACTGGGATGACTCCCAATGCCAAACTTTAACATTTTCAACTGGCCGAGAATAAGAGATACCTGTCAAGATTCCCAACATTGTGTCAGTCTGAGTCTGAGGTACCGATGAGCTGAGCCCTTTAGGAGGTGCTAAGGACTTCACATTACCCTCCATTTTTTACCTTTTTTCTGATCATCCATCCTGTCTGCCTTTAGATGGGAATGGTGGATCCAAGCTATGGTTCCTACTGCCTTGATAGTGTTGTCGTGATCACAGGGTACAGTCCCTTCCGGGAAGGTCCCAGTGATCTGATGGGTGGGTGGCAGATCCACACCAAGTCCCCAACTGGGTCTTGTGTGCTGGTTTGGTCAAAGGTCATGCAGACAGTGGGGATGACAGATGACTCTGGGTGTCTCGGGTGGCCTACTGCAATGCCTGTGAGGACTTATTTAGGTATTTCAACAGTCTGAAGTCTTCCCTTCGTAAGAATAAATGGAGGCAGACAGCCAAAAACTTCAAACAGTGTTATCTTATCCTACTAAGGGTAGCCCCTTATCCTGAAAAGAACTAGGGAGCAGCTCTGTCCATCCCTTGCCAGTCTCTGCCCAGAATTTAATTGTTTCTTTGATGATCCTGTTACCTCTTTCTACCTGTCCTCAGTCTGGGGCCTCTGGATACAATGTAATTTCCAATGTATTCCTAGAATTTTAGCCACTTGTTAAGACACTTTAGCTGTGAAGATGGGGCCCGAAAGAAGAGGGAATGATCCCCATTAGTAACTTCTTAGTGAGAAATTAGCTGATTCTGACCTGGTGGGAAAGGCTTCTACCCATCCTGAAAAGGTATCTATAGATACTATCAAATACCAATAGCCAAACCTTGTCAGAGTAACAGTTCAAATTCCCAGTGTTCACCAGGACTGTGTCCTCTTCCTTGAACACCCACAGATGCTGGTTTTCCTCCTCTTGAGTTCACCTGGGTACAGACTGCACAGTAGTCAGTAACTTGTTCACCCCTCTCATCTAGCTGGTATGGAAAGTGCCTGTCTCTCACTAATTCTTTCCACGTGGTTGACCCCAGGTGTGCACTCTGATGAAGCTGTGAGAGAAGAGACGGCCCCAGGGCTTCTGGTGTGATGGGGCAGCCCTCTGGAAGGACCCACCAGTCCTCTTAGTGGACCCCTGCTGCTGGCCCAATTTTCTTCCTTGCTGGGTGGGATATGTAGCGATGCTCTGGTAGGTCTGGCTCAGGCAGGAGGGTGAGGATTGAGGGAGAGCCTAAAGGTATCAGGGGTCCCACTGGCTCTGGGGCTGCTCTTCTTGCCATGTCTATTGCAAGTCTATTTCCTCAGGCTTCAACTGAGACCATGTCTTAGTCAGTGTTCTATTGCTGTGAAGAGGCATCTTGACCAAGACAATTCATATAAGAGGAAGCATTTAATTGTGGCTTACTTACATTTCAGAGGTTTAGTCTGTTGTCCTTATGGTTAGGAGCATGGTGCCTTGCAGGCAGATATGGTGCTGGAGAAGGAGCTGAGAATTCTACATCTGTAGTCACAGACAGCAAGAAGAGAGAAACACTGAGCCTGGCTTGAACACTGGAAATGTCAAAGCCCACCCCCTGTGACACACTTCCTCCAACAAGGCCACACCTGCCCCAGTAAGGCCACATCTACTCCAACAAGGCCACGCCTCCTAATGCCATTCCTTAAGCATTCAAATATGTGAGCTTATAGGACCACTCTTACTCAAAGCACCATAGTCTCTTTTTCCGGATCCTGAACAAGAGATAACAGCAAGCTTCTCCTGAGGCCAAATCGCTGTTAGAAGAGTAGAGATCTCTTTGTTTTTATCTCCTTTCCTGTGGAGGTCAACATGCCCCACTCCTGGCATGAAGCACCATGGAATGTGCCATGGCAAAGCCATACTGGTTATCAGTGTAGATGTTGACCGTGTGGCTGTTTCCCCACGTTAGTGCCTGGGTCATGGCTGTCAGCTCTGCCTTTTGATCTGAGGTCTCTTGGGGAAGACACTGGGCCCAGATTACCTCCATGAGAGTCACTACCCCTGCCCCTGCATACGTAACCCCATCTTGGACATAGTTGCTTCCACCGGTGAATAGGATCATATCTGCCTTCCCCAGAAGCTGGCCTCAGAGGTCTGGTCATCCATATTGCAGGTGGTCAATGACCTGGGCACAGCTGTGGGCTGGCTGTTCTTCAGGGTCTGGAAGGAAGGAAGCTGGGTTCAACACTGCTGACAGTGAGAAACTGATCCTGGGTGCATCTAAAAGGAGAGCCTGAAACAGTGAGGCATGTGTTCCGCAATCAGTGCTCAGAAGCTCCCGGAAGGAGCACTGTAATGGAGTGGGGAGTGGTGACGACCAGCTCCTGTCCCATGGTCAGGTTATCAGTTTCCTTTAGCAATAGTGCTGTGGTGGCAATGGTCCCGATGCAAGCGGCCATCCTGCTGCAGCAGGGTCTAGGCATTTAGTAAATAGGCCACAGGCCTTTTCCAGGCTCCCAAAGTTTGAGTCAGTACACAGTTGGTCATCCCATTTCATTTACCCACAGACAAGTGGAAAGTTTAGCAATGTCAGATAACCCTGAGTGCTGGGGCTGATATCAAAGCCTCCTTGAGCTTTTGGAATGCCTCCTTTTCATTGTTTTCCCAACTCAGAAGGCCATTTCACAGTGGTTAAGAGCACTGGCTGTTCTTCCAGAGGACCCAGGTTCAATTCCCAGAACCCACATGGCAGTTCACAACGCCAATGTGCATAAAATAAAGTTAAATTATTTTTTAAAAAAAGAAAACCTAACTAAGACAATGGGCAGTATTACTCTAGCCATCCTCTTACTTTTCTTCTCACCTGGATCTCTATTGTTTAAAATCTTCTGAACTATTTTTAACAATTGTGACTTATCCAGTCTCTTAAACCTAATTTTTGTAACTTCCTACAAATATCTGTGATCAACTGGATAACAAAACAATATAAACCAGCCCTCTGGTTTTCTGGAGCACCCAGATGAATGGGGGTAGACCTCCAGTAAGCCTCTTGGAGATGATCTGGGAATCCAGAAGGAGATTCCTAATTTCCTTGAGTCAGCTCAAATACCTTTGAGAACTAGTTGGTTTTTGGCTACTGCTCTCATTCTTCTCATGAGGCCCCAGTGGTAGGTGTCTGCTGTCTCCTTACTTTGATCAGTGTTGGGATCCAAGCTTGGTAGAGTTGAGGGCAATATTTCCTTGGCTCTGCTTGCAACACGCACCCCGGTCACACCAGGGCCCTTTGCGACTTCCTGGCTTCAGTTATAGTCCAACACCTCTGCTCTGTAGCAAAAAGGGTACTTCGAAAGTTCTTAAACCAGCCCAGATGAGTTGATGGGTAAAGAAAACAGTTTCCAACAGGCTGATGAGACCATGAGGCTTCTCAGAGAAGGGAAGGTTCTAGATCTTCCAGTTATACATTGTTCAATACAAATCATTGTTCAAAGAAGGAAGATAAACTAGGAAAGAAGGTCTGGCTCGGCTGGGGTGGAGCTTAAGCCAGCCCTCTCCTGGACTGTGAAAATAAGGACATGTCAAGATAGACTCTTGGGACTGCAGGCACATAACCCCGTCAGACAGTGGGGTCCTGAACTGGCTGCATGTGTGGACTGTAAGGTGAGGGAACATCTGCTGCCATTGCTGCCACCTCCTGCTTCTCCTCCTCCTCCTCCTCCTCCTTCTCCTCCTCCTCCATCCAGGACCAGAACAAACAATCCAGTCATTTTGCTTAGGTTTTTACTCAGCCTCTGATTCGTTGACTCGGTGAATAAAGTGGAGGAGCCTTGTTTACCGGCACAGCATTTCTGACAAGGAAGGGATTCAAGAGGAGGAAGATCCAGCAGTCAATGTAAGAAAACTGTAGGGTGGCCAGAGTTGCCTGTGACTACTTGCTAGACTCTCTTGGCACTTTGAGGTTCTGGCCATCCCACATCAAGTCCCCAAGCTGAGTCTTGTGTGCTGGTTTGGTCAAAGGTCCTGTCCCATGGTCATTTGAATTCACAGACAGTGAGAAGCTGCCTAGGTGATACCTTAGCTCTGTAGTCTGCCTTGTAGAACTCCCAGAAGTGTTGCAGCATGCAGGCCAAGGGCCACTTCACTGTATCAGTCTAGTTTCCCTATCTTCAAGAAAACTTATAAGCCCACCAGAAACATGTCTCCTACTCTGAGCCTGGAGACTGGGTCTATGATCACTTATAATCTCCCCTATGTCTCCCTACATGTCCCAACATCTAGAACAACTCATGATTCATCCTGTTTTAAGCATGCTTAATCTAACAATTCTTTTGTTTTGTTTCCATCTTGCAAATTTGCACTGGTCACAGGCTGGGGCTTCCCCAGACCCCAAGTCCACAAAAGTTCTTGCCTCCAACTAGGGTGTTCGCCCCTGGGGCCTCTGATTTGTGGTACTTGCTCCCACCTAGAACCTAACCCCAATGAGTGACTCTTTAATTTGTGGCAGCCATAGTCTCAGGCTTCCCTGGGGCCTCCAAATCTGCCCTAGACCTGCCCAACTAAGTAAGAACTGTCCTTGAGGCAATGTTCTGAATCTTGCCCAGGATCTTGCTGGGGCCTCCAAGTGATATGGAGCTTGAGACTACTAGGGAAAGACCAACAGAGTCAATTCAGATTATAATTAGCCAAGTTTATTAAAACTGCTAGCATGCTTGCAGTCTCTAACCCAAATCAGAGATGAGCCACCCAAAGTTATCTGAAGGAAGGGCTTTTAAAGGCAAAAACCACAAGAGCCTGTCTGCTTGGACAAGATTACATGGTCAAAGTGAACTTAAAACAGTTCTTGACTATCTGCCTAAGCAGGTTACAGAAGCCAAATTTTAGCAGTTAGTCATAGCATAACAACCAGATGGTCACATTGTGGCTGTACATTTTTGGGTGGAAGTCAAGGATTCAAAGTTGCGGGGAACAACTTCCAGAAGTTTGAGTCAGGGACAAAATGGCCGTTAGGTACCAAGATGGAAGACTAGCACAAAATTGAGTTTCTTTAGCCGTCACATTGAAAACTGAATGGAAGGCAGCTGGTCCCATGGTGGGGTGCTAGCCAGATGGGGAGCCTTTCAGCAGGTGGGGAATACTGGTAAGACAAGGGGTCTCAGGCTGAGGTCTTTAGGGTCCTGAGAGGTTCAAAGGTGTCCTGACCCTAAACACAAACCTATAGCCAGTGTAATACCATACACATTTACTTCCAGCACTCAAGAGGCAGGAGCAAAGACAGGTTGATCTCTGTGAGTTCCAAGCCAACCAGAACCACATAGACTATGTCGAGAAAAAAAAAAAGCCTGTACCCTCTGATGACTTCACTCTAAGGAAATGTCTCTCACTGGAGGCCAGCTCACACCTCCTGCATTCTCTCTGCTGCCCCCTGCTGGTGGCCCCTGTTTTCAGGCCTTCATCTCAGGATTCCAGTTTTTTTAATCTGGAAACTCAGCTTCTGTGAAGAATGAGGACCTTGACAAGGTTCCCCTGGGAACAGAGCTAGAGAACAGAAAGATGACTACCCAGAAGCTTCAAGAAAAGACTTTTTTCAAACTTTACCATACTTAATTCACATAAAAAAAAAAAACAAAGAAAAGCCATACCCATTGCTCTTGGCATTTCCAGGGCCAGACACCCTCGTTCTTTCTTTTTTACCCTCTATTGAATGTACCTCAAGATTACATGTTTTTCAGGTACACAGTGGCCCCGGGAATGAAAACATGCATTCCATGGAGCCTAGGGGTGTTTAAAGTAAAGAGGACACTGTCTGCACTGGGCATAGCAAGGAAGGGAACACCTGGTAGAGGAGAGGTAGGAGACCCAAACTGCTGTGGCGGAAGGGGACCTGACATGTGGCGACCTGGTGGCATGAGTAGGGGAGCTGAAAAGGAGACGAGGACCGGCCAGCCCCGCGCGCACTGAGTTAGCTCACTTAGGAGACACTGGGATTCCGACTTCAGAGAAAGTGGGTAAAGAGGCGATGGACCATGGTGTGGACAGCGTGACCAAGAACAGCTATCCCCATGGAAAACGGCCAGTGCTCCTAAGCAGACGTGGGAATTGTGGTCTCGAGCAGAGAAGCTTCGTAGCAACATGGGAAGAATTACTCAGTTATCCCGAAGCAAACTGCCCCCTCTCCCAAACAGGGTCTCGTGTACCGGGCTGGCCTCATACTCACTGTGAGCTGAGGATGGCCTTCCGATCCTCCTCCCCCACCTCCTCTCTGCAGGGGTCACAGGTATGCACTGCAAGCCTGTTTGTGTGGTCCCGCAGGTCAGACTGGGGTCACTAGTGCCAGATGAGCACTTTACCTGCCAGGTCACACCGACAGCCTTCTGATGTGTTTTTCTATATTTCCATCTTTCATTTTATAAGTTAAACTTACAAGACGGAAGAGATGGCTCATCAGTTAAGAGCACTTACTACTCTTTCAGAAGGGCAGTTTGGATGTCAGCACCTGTATCAGGTTGTTCGTAAACATCTGTCACTCCAGCTACAGGGGATTGGACACTCTCTTCTGAACTCTGTGAGAAACCCCACACACACATGTAAAAAAAAGTTAGTCTTTAAATTATTTGCAATGGATACATTAAAACATGGAATAGTTCCACATTTTAAGAGTACCATGTGGTGTTCTAATACATGTATTTAAATTGAGCTAAGCATGTCTGTCTTGTCAAAACTGATCTTGTTTGAATGTAGCTTTTATGTGGTCATCCAAGGCTTCTTAGAAGGATGAGGGAAACCCAAACAAAATGATCTGCAGATGCCAGGTATGGACCTGCTTCACATGGGCAGTGGCAAATTCTGCATTTTCTCCTTGTCCTTGCCCGTTTACTCAACCCCCTTCGAGGACCTCCAGGAACAGATCATTCCAAGCTAAGACAGATGGACTCCAGTGTGTTTCAAAGAATTTTTCAGCAAGAAAAAGTTAAGATGCAGAGCAATCTGAGTGTCAGGGAGAGAGGCATGTCTTCAAGCTGGACCACTGTTGCAACACAGATGCTGAGCTCAGGGCCAGGCGGGTCATGGGACTGTCTGGATGTAGGGCCGCTTACAGATGAAAGGAAACTTATTGTCACAGGACAAATCATTCCAGGACTGGAGGGAGGACACCCTGACATTGCCACAGTGCTCATTGTTCCCAATATTGTTGGGTTCACCTGGAATCCAGAACCTACCAAGTGAGAAAAACAAGGACACTTTGTGTACCTGGCAGAACGGAAGCCCTGCATCAGATCCACAACCCCAAATGCCTTTATCCCAGCACTCAGGAGGTAGAGGCAGGAGGATCAGAAGTTCAAGGTCAACCTAGGCTACATTTAAGTTCCAAGCCAGCCTGGGATACATGAGATGCTGTCTTAAAATAAGTTATGTTAGAGGCCACAAAGATGACTCAGTGGGTTACTGGCCAGCAAAACTGATGGCCTGACTCTAACCTCCAGGATCCACATAGTAGGAAAGAACCAACTTGGACCAGTTGCTCTCTGACCTCTACACACACGTGCCACATGCTCCCACGTATACATCATGTAGGCACAAACTAAAATTACATAAATAAATAATGTTGATGGGTTACTTCATTTCCAGTTTTCATCCTTGGTGACAACACCAACGGTTTTGTTCCCAAACATAAGAAGATGAGCAGACCTTCAACTCTAAGCCCTTGCTGTGCCCCCACCCCCTTCTCTCAAGGCTCTCACAATCCCATATTGCATAGGCCTGGACTTGAGTCAGACCCTCACGATACCTGGGCAGAAGATCTTTCTGCCAAGCCTCATAGGACGTGCAGGTTCCTAACTGGCCTCGGGAACCACCCAATGAGCAGCAATGGTTAGCTGGATGTTCACCCCAGTGCTAGGATAAGGACAGATGCAGCCCTGTGTTCATGGCAACTCACCACCGAGCAAGCCAGGCTGTAAAGGAGGACACAGCAGACACACTCACCTCTCACTTTGCTTCTTGTTGAATGATGTCCCATCCACCCAGTACCAGTCCCCTTCAGTCCCTGCCTTGGTGAGACCAATCCAGAATGGAAACCCATCTGCTGACTTGTAGAGAAACTCCTGCGGGGAGCACAGAGCAAGTGAGGGGACACCCAGCCACCACCACACCTTGAGTACCTACCTGTTGGGTACACTTCACTTATGCACAGCAGCAGCCCCTGAACTTCACGGTGTCCCCACAGGATCCACAGTCTCACGGGTACAGTGTCTTCTCTCAGTGCCCCTGCCTGCAGCCCAGAGCGCACTCCCAAGACCTCGCTGCTCATTGCTTAGCAGCTAACAGACTTGGAACTTGTGCTTCCTAGTGAGGTGTCAGAGACCGAGGGAGACACAGCCCGCCACGTGTAGCAGCAGATGCCTGCAATCCCTGCACTTTGGAGCCTGAGGCCAGAAGACTAAGAAATCAAGGCGTCCTGAGTTACATACCAAGACCCCATCTCAAAAGGAAAAAAAAAGTAAAAAGCAAGCAAACATCCTTTAAATTCAGCTAAACTGCAGACAAGAGACATCAAGGGAATGATCTGAATGGTGATACCTAAATTACATGAGACCTTAACTATGCCAGATGCTAGAAAACCACCTATGCCTCCCTCCCTCCTTTACCCTCAGGGCAGGCACTGCTTCATCAATTCACTTAAGGTGAGGCCTGGGAAAGTAAGTCATCTCCCCAAGGCTTCAGGACACACTTGCTGACACTCGGCTAGTGTAGACCTGGGCGTCTTCTGCTTCATTTCTCCACCTCCCAGATCAACCAGACCAGTCTACACTGTCACCAGGAAGGAGGCCTCCTGGGTCCTGGGGGATCATTAATGTTGTTCACAATGCTTCTATTTTCTGGCATGCGGAGAGAGCCACCCCTGGCTGCCCTCCTTGAAGCTATCAGTTTTGAGTGACTGGCTCGGGCTACAGACATGTGACAGAAATGATAAGTTAGAGGGCAGGGGATTTAACAGACAGTGAAGCTTGCAGTGCTCTTTGCTGCTTCAGCAGCTGCGGATGTGTGTTGAAATAAAGAATCCTACGGCTTAGGTCCTGGATACCCACAACAAACAAATCCTTGCAGTCCCATGCAAGATGTGTAATATACATGAGAAATAAACCTGGGGGCACTGGAGGGATGTCCCAGTGGGTAGAAGTACTTGCTACACAAGCATGAGGCTCTGAGATCGCATCCCCGGCACCCATGTAAGCCCAGCCCTGTGGAAGACAGAGGCAGAGGATCTCTATGACTTACTTGCTAGCTAGCAGTCAGGGCTCAAGGAATGAGACAGTGATAAAACAGGACATTTGATGTCCTCCTGTGACCTTCACACATGCATGGGTACATGCTTCTGCACACACATATTCACATGTCCAAATACACACACACACACACACACACACACACACACACACACACACGAGTGAGACAGACAGACAGACAGAGAGACAGAGACAGACAGAGAGAATAAATGAGCCTTCATTCTTAAGTCATGGACTGTTAAGGAAGTTTTGTTAATGCAGCAAACTCCTGCCCAGCCTCTCTGACATGCCCTTCACAAAACCTGTGATGATTGCACTCACTTGCTCTGATTCTGAGGTCACTGAGGTCAGATGAGCATCCCTAGAAATGCAGGTCTGCTCCGCGCTGTACCAGGTCTTTGGGGTATGAGAAAAGTGATAGAAGTTCCCCCCGAAGTACTTCCAGCCTTGGGACATCATCTCCAGAATGTCACCTGGAAAACAGGGCTGAGGTAACTGGGATGCTCCTGGTTTGCTGCATCCTGACTGGACATGGATTCTAGGGACAGCAGTGAATGGATCCAGGATCCAAGGGCCCTTAGTTTCCTAGTGTCAGGGACTGAGGACACTCTATTGGAACCTTAAATGTCTGAGACTTGTGGACAGAGCCTCTGAGGCTAGAAAAGGAACAGTGTCTGGTAGGGGAGACTGTGAGAGGAACACAAGGGAACATTACCCTGGGCCTTGGCTCATAGTAATGAACTTCATGGGAAAAGACAAGACACAGGCTTTGTGTAACATATTATATTAGTAAAATGCCACTTGTGAGCTCAGTGAGAAGCTGACTCTGAACTGGGGATGCCCACCCCTCCCAATTTCAAATCCAAGCATGTTTGTCTCAAAGTGCCCTCTAAGGAGAGAAGGGTCAGCTTGGAACACCAGCTGTCTGCTTCAGCTTCATCAATGAGTTTCTGCTGGATGTTTGATGCTCCAGATTTGATGATGTCACCTTCCAGTCATCATCTGTTCCTACCCCAGGGGATCCTCTGCTCCTCAGGGACTCTCTAACAGAAACTCCAGCTGAGGGCCTCATTGTGGCTTCCCCAGCTGATTTCTGCTGGGTGTTTTGAGTGCCCAGTTTGATGTTTTGCTATATCAGTCTATCACCTGTGCATATCTCTCAGAACCCAAAATATGCCTCTTCTCCTAACCACACGGAACTCCAGGACAGACCCCCCCCAATGCTTCTACAAGCTGCACCTTAGTGTAGAGACCCAAGCTAGGCCTGGTGTTTTCTCTCCTCACGGCCCCCAAGTTCTATTAGACCATTGGTAATGCCTGCCCACCCACAAGCCTGTCTCCTGCCCACCCACAAGGCAGCCTGCCTCCTGTCTGAGACAGGTATGGTTTTGTGGCCACTGGTCAGCCTGCAGGATCATCTTTTTGTACACTTACTCTGTCTTTGGAGTAACTTGTTGACATTCTCCAAGCTGTTCTGCAATCCTCGAACCTTTGCATTCAAGGTGCTGGATTTATCCAGATCTCTTTGCAGCTCGGGGATTTTGGAACTAAGGCTATCAACCTCTTCCCAGTTTCGTGTTAACACACTGATCTGAGCACTGGCTTGCTCCATGCTGATCCGCAAAGACAGGATCTGAGAACGCACCCGGGAGAGGCTGGTGTTCAGAATCCTCATCTGAACTTCAGCCTCCTCCACACGGCCTCTGTCCTTCTCAAGAACAGAACCCAGGGTGCTGATATTGTCCACACGACCTCCCAACATCTGAGCATCACTCTTCACATCCAATATTTTGTCCATCAACCTGGGATCTGGGTTTGAGAAAGTCAGGCAGTCAGTTGAGGGGTTACTTAGCCACAGAGGTGGGGTTTGTCTGAAGAAAGGGAAAGATGCAGGATCAAGTTTCCCAAAGGACCAAAACAGTCCAAGGAGCTGCCACTTTCTCTCCACTCATTCACTTATATGCATATGGGTGCATCATGTGCCGTCATGTGTCAGGAACGTTGGGTAGCACAGGCCTGGAGGAGACCAAGAGGTCTCATGAACAGGCAAAGGGAGAACCTAGCCCTGAAAAGCCTTAGAATGGTCAGGATGAACTGGGTAAAGGGGCACCCTTAGTCACCCCCCATCATTCTATCACTGAGTCCCCTCTGAGCCTATGAGATAGTCACCAGCCCTCTCCTGTCAAAGATGCAGCCACCAGCTAGGGCAGCACACCCCTCCCTTGTCTTCCCACAGGCTGTTCTATGGCCATGGGCAGAGCCATATCCGTTCCAGAACACACAGAAGGCATGTTAAGCTATTTCTGCCCTTCCCTGTCCCTATCTTTCATACTCTACTAAGACCATAGGAGAACCAATAACTATCAAAAGAGATCTGTGTGGCTGAAAATGGCTCAGCAGCAAGAACACTTACTCTTGCGGAAAACCTGGGTTAATTCCCCATACAATAAAGCAGCTCATAATTGTCCATAATCTCAGTTATAGGGAGATGTGATGCCCTCTTATATCTTTGGGAGATAGGACTTGTGGTATACAAACACACAAGCAAACCATTCTAAGGCATTGCTGCACATATATGCAAGCAAAACACTTGCATACATAATAAAGTAAAACATGAGATTTCCAGAAAGAATCCTATGAAAAAGGCAGTGCCAGAAGCTAAGAACAGCAGGCATGGTATCACACACCTTAATCCTAGCAGAGGCAGGCAGATCTCAATGAGTTTCAGGCAGGCCTGATCTACTGAGTTCCAAGCCAGCCAGGGATACATAGTAAGACCCTTTCTCACACAAACAAGCAAGGAGAGAGAGAGAGAGAGAGAGAGAGAGAGAGAGAGAGAGAGAGAGAGAGAGAGAGAGAGAGAGAGGTGGAGGTGGAGGGTAGGAGAGGAGACAAGACAATGAGATGAGGATAAGGTCAAGGTCAGCATTGGGGGCCTGGAAGGATGTGACTGAGAATCTGCAACCATGTATATCCAGTCATGAAAGGAGAAACATTCCCTCCCTATACTTTCTAGAGACTTGGCAGAAGGGAAAAAGGTGTGACCACAGAAGAGCCCAAGAAGCTTCTAGAAGAAGAATAAGAAGACTCAAGAGAGTGAGGAGACTGTCTGGGAGATTTGCTGACTTAGCCAGTTTCTCTATCTGTTCAGTGGAGAATGCTGTCCCTTGTAGTGTCAGGAGTAGGGTCCCCTCACTGTTGGGAGCTATCCACAAGGTTTTGAATCCAAGGGTCTCAGAGCTGTGAGTGACAAGATGCTAAGGGAGGCAAAGGCAGACTTGACAAACTTGGTGATTCTTTTCTCAAGACTGAAGAGTACCCTTGAGAATAGACTTTCCTAATGCCAGTCAGAAAATCCTCCAAGAACCCAGAGTTGGAAGAAACAGGAGGTTGACTTCCAGAAACATCAGGAATCTTCCTAAAGCATCATAGACTGAAGATACCAAGAACAGCAGCAATAAGGGATTGGATCTCCTGGGACCTGGTGACTTACAGAAAACAGCTTGAAGCACAATAGAGGTGACCAGCACCAATGACAGGCAGATGAAGGCCACACGGAGGCCGAGAGGTTTCCTCAGGACTGGAAACAGATCTGGCTTGGGAGCAGGTTCTGGAAGGAGACACAGAGGCTTGTTAAGGACCAGTGAAGAGTGATGGGCAAAAGCACTACGCAGACATGGAACAGTAGCTGGCACTTGCCTTGAGGCCAGAGAGAGATGTTCTGCTTGTCCACTGTGAAGTGGGCATCAGGGGCCTCCCTCTCCTTCATCTCCACCTCTGGCACAGGAGCTTCTGGCTGCCTGTCTCTCCAAAGGCCTTTTATCCAGAAAGAAATAGGAAATGAGTCACAGAGCAAGTCACTGTGTCATGCCCAAGTTCCCTGTTCTTGGCTTAGACATTTTACCAAGCTGAGACCACAGATTCATCACCTCTCCAAAGACCTAGACTTCAGGGGGGGACACTTGGCTTCTTCCCTGGGACACAGACATTTTAATAATCTAATCCAAAAGTCCTCCTATTTCTTTTGTAAAGAGCCTCTCATTATTCATCCAGCCAACATCTATCCACCCACCCTACAAACACATTAAGAGCCCAACCCAGGATCCCAGAGATGAATTACTCAAGTTTCTAACTCAGACAGTTTGGAACCCGATAGAAAAAATAGCTTGAGCAAGTAAATTACAATACAAGATGAAGAACATGGCAATGGATGAAAATCCACTGTCAAAGGATGTACAGGAAACAGAGTGGCGGGAGTACTGGATGAGGGATGGGCACACTCAATGTTTGGGAAATAAGACTACCAGGATGCTGGGGGAAATGTGGAGATCTTTGTTCATATGTACATGGTGACATGTGTGGCAGGAGGTGGGCGTGGGTCTAAAGTCAGGTGATGAGGGTCCTTTTGGATCATCTTAAGGGGTTTTACCTCCTTCCAGTAGGTTCAGGAAGGGGATTTCAGGCAGGAAAGGGACTAGAAAGAGCACTATGAGGGACTGGGGAGACAAGTGATTGCCACATAAGCATGAGTTCATGCCTCCAGCACCCATGTAAATGCCAGGTACATCAGTAGGCACCTATGTCCCCAGGCTAAGCAGAGACAAGAGAATCCATGTAGATCCTTGGCTAACAAATCTGACAAAGAGAGAGCTCTAGGTTCAATGAAAGACCCTTTTTCAAAACTAATGTGGAAAGTGATTGATGAAGTCACTGGACATTGACCTCTGGCTTCTAAAGGCATGCACACATATGTGTACATATATATGTAAACACACACACAGACACACAAAAAAAAGATCCCCTGACCATGGTTAGAAGCATAGATGTGGGTGCAGGAGTCAGGAGATAGGGAGACCAATTAGGAGACCACTGCAATGAAATGTTCTCACATACAATTATGCAATTTTATAAAATGCAACACAGACTTTCACATTGTTGAGCATGAGGCTTGGATTCTCCTCAATGTGTCCCATAGCTTGGGTATCTCAGATAAAGTAGGATAACTCAGCAGCAGTTAACTCAGAGTGTTTTTTACTCTCTCTCTCTCCTCCCCTGGAATCATGAACAGAGTTCCCTATGGAGGAGAAGCTTAGGATATAGAGGAGCTGGTCTGGGGTTCAGTGAAAGAGTAGCTTTTCTTTTGAGAAGTGCCTCAAGCTTTAAAGAATCTTTCAAATTCTAAAGGTCATGGTACATAGTAGACTCTAAACAACTGTTTCTCAGAAGGTAGGAAGTAGAGAAGGGTGAAGAAGAAAGAAGAAAAGAACAGGAAGAAAATTAAGAGTTGACACAGATAATTGGATGGATGGATGGATGGATGGATGGATGGATGTAGATGGGTGGATGGATGGATGAAAGACAAGCAGCTGGATGCATAATTATAAGAGAAGCAGATGAGATAATGAATGGAAATGTGTAAATAGAGTAATGATTGAACAGCTGATCAATGGATGGATGGACAATGGGTGAAAAGATGGATGAACTGTAGAACAGTGGGTGAATAGGTGTTAGACAATCAGGGGATGAATGGATATGCATAGTGGAGCAATGGAGAACAGGTGGAGAGAAAAATAAGTGGATGAATGAATGGGATGATAAATGAGTGGGTGATTTGATGACTGGCCATGACTTCCCACGGTCTATAGTCAGGAATTTGCTTTCTCAAAGTTTCTACTTCTCACCACTGAATACAATTCTCATTCACATGGGAAAGGCATAAAGAGGTGTGGCTAATACCTTACTTAGAAACTAATAAAAATCTCTGGCCACAGGGTGGAAAGCTGTCCTGCCCTCCCTGAGGACTGAGGCTCAATAACAGGTTAAGTCAAGACCCAAGGTGGTAGGATAATCAGCAGAGTCAAAAAAAAAATAGCTGTCTGTCATTGCAGAGGATTCCCTGACTGGAAGCATCCTGCATCCCTGCTCAGCATAACCCCTTCTAGCATCCTTTGGCACCCATAGTCCTTGCTACCTTTGCTGGCTGACTGAGCTAATCTGAGAGCTGAGTCTCTGGGTGGGAAACTCAGATAGGATTCCACCATTCACCTTCCAATTGTAGAAAGGAAGCTAGGAAGCAAAGATGGAGTTCTGCCAGTCCTGTCTCAGATCCTCCTGCCTTCCCTCTGTCTGCAACTGCCCAGCATCTGGTCTGTTCTAGCCTTTGGTAGGAGCTTCTCCTATCACAGCCTCCAGCAGCACAGGACTCAAAGGGAAATCCACAGCATCAGCACATACTAGACTTTTCTATCTGAGGGGGGTAGGGGAAAAGACTCTCTATTGTGGTTTCCTTCTTTATTTTCTATCCTCCTCTGCTCTTTCCATGTTCTTTCTACTGTATATTTTTTCTACAACTTATCTACTCCAACAAAATTTTTCAGGAAATATAGGAATTACAGTGTAGCTACATTCTGTTTTTCAAGTGAATGATTACAGTGAATATGAAGCAAACAGTAAAAACAGCATGTTTTCCATACTCTTTGAATGATAAAACATTTTACATAGTACAAATGAAAAACAAATTATCCCAAAAACCCACATACATTCATTCCCAATCAACTTGTTATAGAGTAACCATGTGGACAAGCAAGATAATCTTCTGATTTGGATCTTCTGCTGTCAGGCTGCATTTGGCAGTTACAGAGAAAGGACCAATTACTTTATTACTTATCTTTAAAGGTAATCTTAGAAGGAATCACAAGCTGGAATTTTCATACATTAAAAGCAATCAGTCAACCGTACTTTAAGTCTTTGGGGTGTACACCCACTCATCAATAGTTTCTTATATGAGGAGACTAAGGGTAAAAATGAACACAAGGAATTAATCATCATCTTTGATCACCAACCGAACCTAGCAAGGAAAGTACATGAGCTAACAACAATTCAACTGCTTAGTATTTTTGACCCTAACCTCATGGGTCTATAACTCGGTTATGTGTCCTTGTGAACATTAGATTGTTTTCTGTTTTTTATCTTAAAGCTATTATCAAGCATCTGATCTAACCTGAAATTAATTTAAAACTTTGTTTCAGCTAATGCTGCACACCGAAACCTGTGACTGCATCTTTCAGCATTAAGATTAAAGGAATCTGAGAAAGCCTGACTCCTAGGACTCAATTGTTTTTCTTAATCATTAACTTGAGCTATGCAGCTCCTTGGGTGAGACTCGTGGGCACTGGCTATGCAGCATTTCCTTGAAATATTTTTATTCATCAAAACTCTGTATAGGCAAACATTATTATTATCAATTAGACAGTATAACTTAGGGATGAATCATCTTCATGACAACCCACAGATGTACATGCCCTGTAGAATGGGATGTTTACATGAGATAAGCACACTACATTAGAGGCAGTGGGTATCTCCCGCATCCATTCACTGTAACACAAATTAAGAAAAACCCAGAGACAGATTTTGGGGCTCAAGCTTCAAACTGAAGATCAGAGAAGCAATGCAGCCAAGCCAGTAGATCTTACCTCTACCAAGCTGAAATGGCAATCCTGTCTCTACAAATCCTCAGAAACAAAAGTTCTGAACTCCTGTCTCCTCCTCCTTATACTCCTTTCTTTACGCAGGCATATCCACCTGTCTCCACCTCCCTAGTGCTGGAATTAAAGGCTTGTGATCCCAAGTGCTAGTTTCAAAGGCATGATCTCTGTTACTCTTAATTCTTGTGTAGGCCAGGGTGACCTTGAACTCAAAGAGATCCATCTGCCTGTCTCCTGAGTCCTGGGATTAAAGGTGTGTTCCACCCCTGCCTAATTTCTGGTATGGCTGGCCTTGATTTCTGATACTTCAGGCAATCTTTATTAAATCATAAACAATATATCACCATAATTCACACCATGCCAGATTCCAGAGAAAGATAACAACAGCAAACATGTAAAGGCACAGCAGAAGCAAAAGACATTCCAGGGTCTGGTCTTGAGACCTTGCTTGTCCCGATGGGCCCATCAGAGTTTCCTACTGGTGGGCTGACACCTTGAACTTCAGTTTCCATCTGCTGCTCCTCTGACATGGCCACCGGCATTCTCCCTAAGCAATTGCTGGGTTGAAGGGATGCTGCTCTGACCTTTCAAGAATGGACCTGCCTCGTCCTGATGCTTACCTTGGTTCCAGTCATGTGTATAAGGATGAGAATGTCCTTTCTGAACCTTCTTGCCTGGCAGCTGTGATGGTTAATTTTAGTTGTCAACTTGGATGGATTAATGAACACTTAAGGTGGTAGAGAGACACTCCTCTGGGTGTGTCTGTGAGGGAGTTTACAGAAAGGATTCACTGAGGAGGGAAGGCCCTCCCTGAGTGTGGATGGCATGGACTGGGGAGCAGGCTTGGAGTGAGAGGGGTAAAGGAGAAAGCTGGAAGATCTGGCATTCCCTTTTCTCTGCTTCCAGATCCACCATGACGTGCGCAAGCAGCCTCCTGCTGCCAGACAGGAGCCAGGGCCTCCTGATATGTCTGGGTGGCTGCACCCCCTGAGCTGTGAGCCATGATAAGCCCTTCCTCCCCTGAGTTGCTTCTTGTCAGCAGTGAGAAAAGTAACTAACAACCCAGTGCCCTGTCTAAGACAAGCCACTCCAGCCCTCTGCTCTCAGCCCCACATCAACAGCCTGGGCAGGGGCCAGGAGGTGGAAGACAGTACCAGACCCTGACAGAAGGGCCCAGATACCCTAGGGCGTTTGAAGAAAAAAGCTGCCACCCAACATGTGGGACATCTAGTCCCTTCCTCCTCTAGCAGGACATTGATTTTTCAACAGAACACTGGATAAAGAA